TACCCTTCTCTGGTCATTCCATTCTTTCCTTATGGCTCCAACCTCTCCCTCTGAAACGGGATTCTTCCCATCAGCGATTATTATTTTTTAATCCTCACCCGAGGATATGTTTATTGATTTTTTTTTCTTTTTTAAAAGGAAGGGAGAGAGAGAAACATGGGTTGGTTGCACCCTCTTAAGCTCCCCCACCGGACCGAACCACAACTCCGGTATGTGCCAGGAACCCATGACTTTTCCTGTTTGGAAGGAACAACCCTCCAAACAACTGAGCCACACCAGCCCGGGCTGCCAGCTCTTAAAAATACTCAAAATGTTCTTCCATCTTAAAAGTGAATGTTCACACTCCAATTCCTCTTCCAACCACCTCCTACCTCTGTGTTCCCTTTCAAAGCCAACTACACACACAAAAAAAAGTTAAAAGCACTTTCTCAACTCCCATACCTGGCAAGCCATCATGAACATCATCATCGTGGCTTCTGTGCTGACCCGTCCACCTATTGCCTCTAAGGACTGCCAAGCTCAGGATGACTGATGGCAGAGCTCGTGTTTCTCCAGGGGTGGGCAAACTTTTTGACTCGAGGTCCACAATGGGTTCTTAAACTGGACCGGAGGGCCGGAACAAAAGCATGGATGGAGTGTTTGTGTGAACTAATATAAATTCAAAGTAAACATCATTACATAAAAGGATACAGTCTTTTTTTTTTTTTTTTTTTTAGTTTTATTCATTTCAAATGGGCCGGATCCGGCCCGCGGGCCGTAGTTTGCCCACGGCTGTTAACCTGTGCCTGTAATTGCATTGCATACAGTAAGATTTAACATTTGTATGTGCAGGTCTGCAACTTTTGACCAATGTATACGTGTGTGTAACTACCACTAAAATCAAGGTACAGAATAGTCCCGTCACCCACCAAAGCTCCCCCAATGACCTTTTGTAGGTAGCCCTAAACCCCCCTCCCAAACTCCCAGCCCCTGAAGCCACTGTTCTGTTTCCATCTTTATAGTTTTGCCTTATGTCATATAAATAAATCCATACACTATATGGCCTTTTGAGACTGGCTTCTTTTACTCAGATAATGCATCTGAGAGTCAGCCATACTGTTCATGTTTCAGTACTTCAGTACTTTCT